GGGGGGGGGGGGGGAGGTGGATCGTTTGATCTTCAATCAAATTTCGCAATGGCGCAAGATTTAAATAGAATTACTCTTCCATATATCCTTTCTTATATATATATATCTCTCTCTTAAGCTAAGTCATCCATTTTTATTCAAAGATATATATATAGTAATTCTCGCGGGATGTATTTTAAAACGTGGGCGCTCTTTACGGATCGTGTTATTGCGCGTCGTAAATTCTTCCAATTTAAGAGAGCGAAATTGTGCCAATTCGAGCGATCTGTGTGCCAAAGGAATCACCGGGAACCCAAGAGAGAACGCATTTCAAGATGGATACGAGGTCTCCAAGGCCTCCGTTTTAAGATGCATTCTGTAATTGATAACGATACTAATACTAAGAGAACAATGAAAGAAAGGAGCAAGAGAGCAAAATACGAGGATCACAATTATGATAATTGGAGTATAAACAACGACGATAATAACGATTATGGTAAACGCGTACAATTTTAGATTATATATGTTTATAACATATTTGACAGATGTAACGTTTAATTAAATCAAATTTGTAATATCAGTAACGTGTGTTGCTTTGCAAATTGCACAGAGCGTTGCGCGCGCGCGCGCGCCTTCTCTCGACTCTCTGAATCCTCCTCAAAATTTAGAGAAGATTTCACATAGATGAAAATCCTGAAAATGTGCGATATTGAATTGCTCAATATCGCAAATCGAGAAGAAAATTTCACGAATTACTGTAGGTGGGCGAATGAACGTGTGTCGCGAAGCTTTATTTCTCATTGATATAAAATAACAAATTTCACTAATTATCACAATAACTGTTATTGTTTAGTGCGTGACGAAAACTAGACGTTAGACTATCATCACACGAGACGCGTGATGTTCATTTCCTTGTGGAGATCTTCGAGGGACTGTTCCCAGCGTTCCTCGTAATAGACACCCAGCAGAAACTTCGCCTTCCTGCCCGTGTCAACGGACCATGGCAGATAATGCTTCAAGTACAATTGCCTCTGCCTGAAATGCACCATATAGTCGGTGTCATTATGCGACTTTCAGCCTTATGAAAGAAGAATATAAGGTAGAAAATCGTGTAATTCTCGCTTTAAAGAATGGCACAGCGTACATGACGTTGATTGTACAGAAGAAATGTGAGATCAGTTTCACCCCAAGTAGCAAGGTGACAAATAACTCTTTAATGACGTCTTATTGACGTTAGAGACGTTGTTAAGACTTCATTTGACGTCATCTCGCTACTTGAGACAGTATCGACAGCGTATCGTCGTGAAGCGACGAATTTACCTAGGACGTAGCCGACTGGCCCCGAATATCGCGGCGCCCACGCACATCGGCAGGTGCATCTGCAAGGCCTCCACCCACTTAACCGACACCTCTCCCAGCATCGTCGTCGGCATCAAGAGGACAGCGTGAAAGATATCGTGCACCTCACGGTATCGTTGCATCACGTACGCCAGCTCGGTATCGTCGACGTATCGCACAGTCATTCGATCGTCGGGTGATACATTCTGCAAAGTGCATCGTCCGCTCAGAAAAGACTTTTGTCTCGCACTTTAAGGATGTATTGCCCATAAGTCAAAATAACGGAAAAATTACAAGCTGGTTTATATTGCATTTAAACGTAAAAATTTGACAGTAATTCAGAGCCTGGATCAAAAGTTATTTCGCTTTAAAGGAGGCTGTAAGATAAAATGAGTTTGATAAGAATTCGATGAAACTTGCACTGCGTATACATTGAAATATCATTTAACTCGTTGCTCGTACTATTAAAAGAAGGTTGACCATTCGAGAGTTAAGATATTTTGTAACTAAATTTGACACTTTTTATACATGTTCCTTGAGATTAGCGTGCTACTTTTATTTGTATTTTTAATATTTTCTAAACTAAAAATAAGATTTTAATGAAAAACTACTATGATACTGAAGACTAATATGCAGACATTATACACGCAGATTTCAGAATTATTGAACATTTTGTTTTGAAAATACAACGATGTAAAATTCATGACTTATAGTAATATTCGAAATATATATATATATATATATATATACATATATACATATGCACATATTTAAACACGTATGCCTCTTTCTATTATTTGTGCATCTCTACTAGATCAATTGATGCATAAATATAGCATTAATAAGAAAAATATGGAAACGTGAAATATGGAAACGTCGGCCGGGGTCCATAATGACCCTAGTGTGCACGATTAGGGTTAATTAAAAAGTCAAAAATAAAATTAAATAGCTCTGTAAGAAGTGCTCGAATAACTAGATACTAAATTCTCTTTGCGGTAAATTATGTATTTACAGACGTTTCGGTCACTATTTGAATCATTTTCAATATAAAAACGGCGCAATTTACGGTATTACAAAAATTGGTACAGACGACAGAGTTAATTACACTCTCCTTCGAAGGCGAAGAATCGAGGCAGTGTGAAGCACATTCTTACATTGTTATCCAAGAAATCGCGGTAAATTCTGCCGACGGTTCCTGGCGGCAAGTCTTTGAGGTAAGACAGATCGACGGTGGACGTGTTTATGCGTGGCTTTTGCTCGAGTATACGCTGACCCTCGGCCGTGCTCTTCAGCATTCGATGACAATGCACGAGGGCGTTCGTGCCTGTGATCTCCCCGAGACACGCTATCATGTCTCCCCGATGCGGGTTCGCCAACGAAATCGCCGCCGAGCCCGCCGTGAGCAGCACACGCTGCAGAGGAGATAACGATACACGGTGCTTGGCATAATCCTCCAAGAATGTCTTGCTAGTCGAGGTAGTCGCGAAACGGCCTGAAAAAACCGAGCGAGAGGTAGTTGAACACGTTTGACCCAAGCACATGTGTACGCGTGGTGATTTATTAATAAATAAAATTTATTTCCATTTGTCGAAGAGAGTGTTGTCGCTCTATATATATCTGTCTATCTATCTATCTATCTATCTATCTATATACATATACATATATTAAACAGATTACATCTAACTTTATGGCGATGTTGTCCCTTAATTGACCCGCGTCACGTTGCATCCCTAACGCGTAATACTTATCTGGTAACGATAATTTTACTTTGGTACATTTTACAGTCGGTTTGTCGGCGACATCTCGACGCTCTGTAACTCGATCCAAAGTTAGAGAGCACTTTGTACAGCAGGAACAAAAATGCTTAAGTGAAAACACTATAACAAGGAGCAACGATCATCACGACGTCGTCACGTCGGAGCGAGGGGCCTCGCGCGTGTAACGACGGAGAATTTGGCTTACAGGCTAGAGAAAATAAAAAGACTCACTGACCGCCACGTGTCTCGCGAGTATGCTGACGGATCGATCCTTCGTACAGTCGGCGTTATGTATATGCCGTATCATCCTCTAGACGGTAACTTTTTAATATCACACAATTTTAGCCTGTCACACATAAGAATTGGAACACATTGGAATTATCATAATTAGAGTCATTATAATCCTTATAATTATAAGTAGAGTTACTTCTGCAATTTTCAACCCCATGCATTTTTATGTATAAGAAAATCGTGTAACCTTCCGTCTAGGAGATGATACACAGTACAAAAACATGTTGTACTTGTGTTAAAATCAGTCCTTGTCAAAAGTCCTGCGTTAAATTTCTCGCACAGCCATGTGTTAATTTAACATATCGCGTTTATGTTGTCTGAACATTTTGTGTTGTGTGTCGATACTCAACACATATAATTGTTAAAATGACATATTTTATACTTCAGTGTCGATGAACGTATTAATTCTGTGTTAATATTTGACACGATATTTATTTACTGTCGCTCTTCAACATATACTCACCTTGGTCCATATTCTGAAGTCACTTTTATCGATAAAAATGCCTCAAATGCTTCTCAGCCAATCAGATGGTTCTTACATCATTGTTAGAGGCACTTTTATCGGTAAAAGTGAGTTCAGAATACGGGCTTTTGTATGAAACTAACGTAAAAATCTGAGTGGACCGTTTGTGATATGTGTTAAATTTAACACGAAATCTTTCTTCACACCGTGCACAGCACACATGACGCCGACTGTACAAGCGCACCACGCCGAGAACACGCTACGCTCTCGCACCCAGCGCCCGTGATGCAAGAGTTACGATCATACGGCCTGTATCTTGCTGGCCTGCGACTCGGTCAGCAGGGCGAACTTGGGCGACAGAGTGTCTCTCTTGCGGAACGTCACCCAGGTGTACACCAAGCTACCTATCACGCTCAAGTTCAGTCCCACAAAGTTCAGCCACGAGAATATATAGTCCCCGCCGATCACCATACCCAGATACGTCACACATATGTTCTTCAGGCATCCGATTATGGTGGTAGTTAGCGCAGAGTTGTACAACGTGCAGAGGATCATACTGTACGACAGTATGAAGCCCATCACGCACGACAGGATGAACTGCAGGATGAACATTGGATCCGTCCAGTTGGGGAAGTCTAGTGTCTGAGCGATGTCGCCCATCCACCAGGCCAACAGGACTGTCGGGCCGAGCATGAACAGGGAATTGTAATACATCAGGCCGTACTTCCCTAGCTCCTTGGAGTCTAGCTTCTTCTTCATGAACACGCCGTTGGCAGCGGTGAAGAAGTCGTTCAACAAGATGAATATGTAGCCCTCCAAATTGAAGGCCAGGTCGTTGAACGCAGCCACCACCGCGCCCAGGATCATGGTGTAGACGCTCAGCTGTATGGACAGTCGCGCCTTGATGCCGAGGATGTAGTACTCGGCGATCATCGTCATGAGTATGCTGAATCGCCTAAGCGCAGTGAACATCGGCAGGCTCAGCTGCTTCGTGCCGCCCAGTCCGAAAATCATATTGCCGATGTAGATCAACGGCAACGGCCATATCTTCGTGCAGGTCGTCGCTTCCATGTTCGGGTACTCGACGTAACGTAGCCTCTTGGCGACGAACAACACCAGTATCGTCGCCAACATTTGGCCGATGCCTAACACTTGGAAGGACGGGAAGCCGTACAACGTGAGCACGGTCTTGTTGACGACGGTGATCATAAACGACGACAGCCCGTAAAAGAATGCCGACGCCACGCGCACAAACATCGCGTTCTGCTCGTGTTCCGTCATCGTGTCGATCGCTTCTTCTCACCACGCTTTCTATTCTCCCTCTCTCTTTCCTACATCCGATTCTGCCGTTATCACAGACCGACTTATGGAGATATTATTACGACAAACAATTACACGCGTAAGGGAACCTACACTTTGATATTCTTATCATGTTTCTTTCGCCAGCAACACGTCCGTTCCAACGGTTTCGCAATGAATTTGCCTCGTAGCGATAAAGACGTTGTATAATGCGCTCATGAGATAACATAAATTATCAAGTATCAGGCATAATGCAGTTGGAGCGGCTGCTTGCTCCGGACTCGTTTCGTGAGTTTCTGCTCGTGTTAGTCTACTTCGTAGCCGGCACAGCATCCGTATGTAACCTATGACGTCACATGACGATAAGTCAAATCTACGATAAAGTAACGGATCGTGCTTGAAACGATAAATTTCACCAGAACGTACCTCCCCGGATGACTCCTGTACTGAGATATGAGGGGAGATAACCGTCAACCGTCTGCTCCGTCTCTTTACTTTCCCTCACGGGTCCCTTCGCACGATACAAAATTAACCTTAATCCGCTGAGAGACGTAACTACTTCCTGGAGCTCCTGTTGGATCGCATCTTAAGCATCAGCGCACATTCCACTCATGTGCATATATATACATATATATATATATATATATATTAATAGATTCAGTGGCAAAGTCCAATGGCGCACAAACGCGTTAACAACGGAGTAAGCATAGTGGTCTTTAAACCTAACCTAAGCTAATGTAACCTAACCTATTACTTACATTACAAATTTACCGGTTCGAATTCGCAACAATTACCACTGCCATCTTCTTCGTTCTTTAACCATTACGCCATCTTGAGGTGGTTGTACACGGTAGTAAATTGATTAAATACCAACTTTGGATATGTACAAATCGAATAGAGATTTTCACTTTTCGAGTGAATTCCCACAAAAGACCGATGACATTTGGATTGACAGAAGATGCCAGAGCTTCGATGTTCTCATATTCACCGATTAAACGTAAATTGGTAAGAAGTGTATCAGATTCCCCAATGTGATTGGGGCAACGGAAAGATATATGATCCAGAGTTTGAACTGAATTACATTAGAATCTTAGTTGGGGATCTTTGAGAATTAGGTTTGGTTACTAGAAGTGAAGAAGATCAAGTTGGCAGCGCTGAGAATCACTAATAGCAACCAATGAGAAAGAGAGCGAGCCAAAATTGAAATTAGCTGCTTTAATCTTTCAACGTTAAGTCGGTTCATCTTGGTTAAAGACATACACAACAATCACATAGTTTCAAGTTTAACTCAAGGCTAATATTTATATTTCACTTTACTTACATTTCATTTAAATATTAAGATTATAATAACTTAACGTTAATATTCAGTACATTATCTCTTATTTCTCTCTTAAACACGCCCGATCGCTTAATGTTACGCTTGATTAATTCACTGTACAAATATATACAACGTTAATTCACAACGTTACGAACAATGCGGTGATAACTTTTACAGAAAATTAGCCATCGGATCCTCATCGCGTTTCCGCTTCATCTGATACGCTTCTATCTCTTCGTTCGTCGGCTCCTTCGCCTCGTATATGCTGTTATACGGACGTTTCCTCTCGTCCATCCTCAACAATTTGTCCGCCTCCTTCGCATATTCCTCCTCCATTCTCAACGCCTCCTTCAGCTTATCCTCCTGTTTCTCAATCTTCCTTCTGTTCTTACGACTCTCCTTCCTCTTTTGTTTCTTCAATCTCCGTTTAGCCGCCTTGCTCTGCCTCTCAATCTTGTTCTTCGTATCTTCGTCGTCGTCGTCGGACGAGGACTCGAAGAACGGTCCTTGCCTGCGGTATCCGATAATCGTCGGGACTCGTTACCCTCCATCTCCTCTGTTTCGGCGCTCACAAATGATACTTCATCTTGCGCGTTACTGATCGCGGCCTCGACCGATTTCTTCCCGGACTCCCCGGTGCAGTAGGAATTTTTGATGAAGGAATAACAGCACTGATAGCCCCATTTGCCGTCCTGCCAGTAAGAGCCCCACACCGACGTGTGGTTGTTCGGGTAGACGTCCTCCTCGTACTTGGATCGTATCACCTGCCTGTCCTGACCTTTGACTATCTTACCGTACCTCGAGTACTCGACATAACGCTCGGTCTGTGCCAACAGCAACGTCTTCGGCGGTGCCTCGAGATGCTCCTCGCCGCCGTACCGCTCGATTATACTGTCCCGCGTCTTGTCCTTCAACTCGTCCCGCTTCTTCTCGTATTCCTGCTTCAACAGCTCCAGCTTCGTCGGCTCGGCGAGCAGATGCACGTCGACCCCTTTCTCGTGCGCCTCCCAGGCGAACAGTTGCGCGTTCACGTGCCGCTGCGTGTCGCCGGAGAAACGCACGAAATTCTCATCCTTGTAATCGACCTCGCGCTCGGTGCCGACGTAGGGATTATCCCGCATCGACCTGGTCTTGGGATCGTAATACGCCGAGTTCGGGTCGAGATTGCGCAGATACTTCGCGGTGTCCTCTCGTATGCGGAGATTCCTCACCGTGATACGCTGCTTCGAGTCCACCTTGGTGCCCGGCATATCCACCTCGTCCACGTACTTATCCTCGTCCTTATCCAAGTCCTGCTCATCGTTCACCTCAGCATTCAGCTTCTCCGCCCGCATCTGCCTCTTCGCCTCCTCCACCTTCTGGTGTTCCTCCACAATGGCTCGATGCTCGGACGAATCGTACCCGGCCCATCTGTCTCTCTTGCCGTCGAAATTCATGGACAGCACAGGCTGGATGAACTCGTCGGGAGCTATCTTGGAATTCGTGATTTTGGCGCCGACTCTGCGCGGCCTTTCCACGCACTCTTTCCTCTTGTGCGTTATCGCGCCGCAGTTCTCACAGGCATTCTTGCGATACTTGCCCACCACCGCTTTCGAATTATCCACTCCACGGTTGTACCACGAGTTTATGGAGCTGTACTGCTTCTGCTTCTCGGGCTGCGGACGCTGATGCTTCAAGGTGGGTCCCTGGGCGCCGAAGTACCATGGCGTCGCGCTGATGTATTGAGGTATGTGCGGGTTGATATCCTTCCCCTCTTCGTCGACAGCAGCCGGAGCCGTGCCAGCCTTCCTGGCCTCCTCGAGTTCCTTCGCCTTGCGCCAATCCTCCCGGCTCTTCTTCCGCGGCTCGTCCTCGAAAGAACTCTTGTTCTTCAAAATGCTCGACACGGTCACGTTCGCTAACGAGTTGGCCATCTTAGCGACGATCCGGGCACCACGTTTCCTCCTTCCCTCCTGAGCCTGTTTCGATAGAAATACAACGTTTGTAACAGTAATGGCCTGGTTACCGTTTACGACTTGTCTTGGAAAAATTGGACTGTCGATGCCCTTCGTACCTAGTCGGGTACAGCAAGGTTAGGTTAGGTGTCTTCCCTCGACGGAAACTTACCGTTTGTTGAGCCCAGAAATCACGCTCTCTTCTGTCCGCTTTTGCGACTTAAGATTCTTTTAAAATCCTTTGTTCTATAAACAATCATTACATTCGGAGAACTCGTCAACAATATAAAATATCCCTTGGCAACAGTAACGAATTATTTGGTCAAAATGTATATTTAGTAAGACGAGAAAACTAGTACCACCAATGTATATCGGAACACCCCCGTCAGACCTATCAGCAAGCCTTTTTAAATTTACTTCAGACGCTTATTTCATTGGATATGAAGCATCTTAAGATGAACTTAAGACGGTCTTAAACATAAGATCTAACTGTGAACACACCGGCCTAAAACCCGTATCAGAGTACGGATTAGAGATTGAGTTTGAATTGAAATTTGACCAATCAGCGCAAAATTCACTAAATTTCACTAAATTTGAATTCAGTTAACTTTGCACTGATTGGCCGAATTCAATCTCAATTCAAGCCCCAAATCGTAGCCTGATACGGGCATTAAGCACTTAACAATCACAAGGGAACGGCTGTAATAACGTTCGTAAGCGTGAACGTTTACAGCGCGTGAACGTCCAAAGAGAACGCACCCTACAAAGAACAGACTATTTCTTTGCGATTTACCTCTACCGGTACTTTATTCATGTCTTCCCCGGTTTCGGTGCTTTGATATGTTTAACACGTTGAGCGCCACGCGAATTTTTAAAGAAATCACCGTCAGGCCACGCGCGCTGCTTAGAAGCGCTGGTATTGCGGTATAGCACTGCGAAGCGCACTACTAACATATTGAAATTTATTCGATGCAGATGTGTAAATATATCAGGGCCATTGTATCTTATCGCAGTAGAAGATATTTACGTTTCGAATGAAATGCTTACATTCATTCAACACGTTATGTGCCAAGTCTGTTTTATCTTGTTTATCGTTCGGCCTGCTAGATAAGATTTCATGGAAATCGGCTCGCGGCCGGGGTTCTGTTTACAACAAAGTAATGCAAACATTTGAGAAATGTTTCACGTGATACATTTTAGAAATGCTTTACGTTTATATTCATTCAGTTCTTTGCGGTTCTTGGTCCAGTGCAGATAGAAAATTTTCTTTAGCCTTGAACGTAAAAATGTCAGTCGAAGAGTGTGAAAGCGATAGCAGTGAAAATATTTTTGCTAAAAAACGGCCTAGAGTGGATGTATTTTTATCATCTGAGGAAGAGGAGGAGAATGTTGGAGAATGGCATGATCCGAGGGGTAATCAACCAAACATTGTTCCTTTTACACATCCTTTTGGATTTGTAAGTGAAAATTTGCATATAAGGTCAGATATAGCGATAGAAACCTGCTATGAATTATTTGTGCCGGGCAAATTGTTCGAGGAAATCGCCGAACAAACGAACTTACATGCATCACAGCAATTAAAAGGTGGATGCACGCAGCGCTTGGTAAAGTGGACAGTGACAAATAAAAGTGAAATAAAGAGATTTTTTGGGCTAATTCTATGGATGGGATTAGTGAAATTACCAGCCATATATTTATATTGGTCCCATGATCCTGTGTATATGCAAACGTTTCCGCAAAAAATCATGTCTAGAAACAGATTTGAACTGTTATTGAGAATGCTACATTTTGCAGATGACAGAAACAGTAATGGTTCCAATCGTTTGTTCAAAATACAACCAGTTATAGATACTTTGGAAATGAATTTTAAAAAATATTACAATCCAACCAAGGACATGTGTATTGATGAATCCTTGATTCCGTTTCGTGGCCGCATTATATTTAGACAATATTTAAAACAAAAGCGCCATAAATATGGAGTCAAAATATTTAAGTTGTGCTGTGAATCGGGTTATACGTATGCTCTTCGTGTATATACAGGGAAAGCTTTAGAAAAAGAAAATACTACGCCTACTAAAATCGTAATGTCTCTTTGCAGAGATTTATTCGATAAGGGACACACGCTATACACTGGCAACTGGTATACAAGCTTGGAATTAGCGGAAAAATTAATCAATAAAAATATTCATTTAGTAGGAACATTACGTTCAAATCGACAAGGAAATCCGCAGCAAGTAATATCGAAAAAATTAAAACGGGGAGAAATCATTGCAAAAGAAAATAAACAAGGAATAACGATTTTAAAATGGAAAGATAAGCGGGACATCCTAGTTCTATCGACAAAGCATTCATCAGAAATGGTGAATGTTGAAAGTCGATCAGAACACAAGTTAAAACCGCAAATTATAGTCGACTATAACAGAGGAAAGGCAGCTGTCTACTTATCCGACCAAATGAATGCCTACAATAATCCACTATGCAAGTCCATGAAATGGTACAGAAAGCTAGCCTTTGAACTGTTATTGAATACTACAGTTCTAAATAGTTACATTTTATATAAAGATATCACGAAGAAGAATATCAGTATTACTGAATTCCGGGAAAAATTAGCAGTACACCTTACAAATTGCCGAGAAGAAGACATTCCATCTGGCAGTATTGCAACAACTTCTAAAAAACGACACAAACACCAAAAACAACCTGGAAAAGTCTCTGCAGTGCGAAAATATTGTAAATTATGTTATGAAAAAAATGCGAAACAATCTGGTAGAGCAATGGCCAGAAAAATGACTAAACAAGTTGTCACATTTTGTGATACATGCGAAGGACAACCGTTTTTATGTTTACCATGTTTCAATAAAATCCATTAAAATGCATTAATGATATAATCCTGTAATAAATAAAAATTAAGTAAATTTTAAATAAATTTTCAGTAATTACTTAAAAAAATGTAAATTTTTTAGTTTTATATCATATTTTACGCCGGTAACTGACGCGGCCTAAACGGAAAGTTCAGTGTCAGTCACCGGTGACTGACGTGGCACTCAACGTGTTAAATTTCTCATGTACGACAAACATTTGCTTGGACTTTGCATTTTCGAGTAAAATGAATTACACAGCGATAAATGAGTCGAGGACCGATCGTTTGTTGATGTTTACACCGCGTGCACCGCGAACGCAAGAACGTCAACGATTCGATTTAATTGCTCTATTGGGAGAGGAAGAGGAAATTGACATTTCGGGATTGAGCGGTATAACATGATCGTCTTATTTTTTAATGTAGCATTATTATTTAAGTTTAAGATAATTTGCGAGAAATTCTCTAAATTCAAGTATAGCTCGATATTAATGTGCGAACGGATCAACAATTTGGCGTATCCTGTTTTATTGAAAATATTCACAATATCTGTTTTTAGTTGAAGCAGCTGGGAAATTTAATACATACTTGAAATTTTATAAAAAAACTTCACGGATCTGGTAGGTCAAACGTGGAACATATATGCGGCATCTGCTCTGTTTGGTTTTCAACGTGATGACATCTTGAAACTGTATTCAAAGAAATTAAGAGCAGAAATCGCAAGACACTTGTCTTATGAAGATTTAACTTACGATGCAAATTTTTCTATTGTGGAAAACATTACATCCAGGTCTAATCATGAAAGTTACTCAGCGGTTAAGGTTAGTGAAAAATTAGTATTATTATTATATATGATGTTTGAACAAAATATTCAAAGATATCGTTAAATATCTGCATTGCGTATTCATTATAAAGAATAATGAAGTTTGAAACAATTCAAAGTATATATATTTTAGATACAAGTTACGGCCAAAAGTAGTGGTCATGAGGGAAATTAATTTACAAAGGGATATTGTTATCTTGGAGAATGGCGCAGCAGATTAAGCCAGATTTGAAGAACTCTACAAGGTTACCTCTTCTGTTGTCCTGTTGTTCTTGTCATCTGTAGTTGTACGGATGCTGTATACGTCGTTATTAATCATATGTTTGACTGCTTGGTAATGGCATTACCAGTCAATGAGGATGATCTAAACTGGCTTATACCAATTATAATCGTATCAGTTAACAAGGACGAGCAACCTACGGTCTCTGGTGAAATACATATGGAATATACAGTACCGGAATTGCCAGCTACAGATACTATTAGAGTCATATTTGATGATTCAGAGCTGAGGAAAATATTAACAAAGTATGTATGCGCATAGTATCAATGTTTAATTGTACAAAAATACTTGTTGGAATAGTCGGCGACTTAAATTTCATATTGTTTGCCAATTTGCAGCATTATAGACCAGAATAATATTACAGTTAACACAATTCTTGAACGTAAACACATAGAACTGTTTCACGAAGTTCTGCATATGCAAATGTTAACAATAGGAAGATTACATTTGGGATTATGCACATTGTACAGGATCAACTTACTTGGTATAACAATAACAGGGAACAGTAAGCTTACATATTTTCCTCGAAGTTTCTTTTTTCTTTTCTTGATCAAAGTTTATCTCTTGATTTATACTGAGATTCAAACTATATTTCCGTCGGAATACATTCATTATATCTATCAATTGAAATACATGTTAATTTTTCTTATTTAAAAGTATTTAGTAAGTCCGTATTTGCTATCAATAATGATTTTTTTGTTTCAGATGAAGATAATGAATGTAGATATTGCGAATCGTATATTGTTGTATTTGTACGAAAAAGCTTACGATATGTTTCATATGATACATATAAACATATAAATATCTATCATTTATTTTATCGTTCCGTGACATAAGACATATATAAATATATTTAAATTCACCTCAATGATGTCATTGTATTCTTCCACAAACAATACAAACAAGCAAGTTAATAAAAAAATTTATATATTGAGAAATCATAGTCAATTTATTTGTTGTACAATAGTACAAAAATTTACATAATTTCGAAAAAGCCTTACATTCTACTACGCCCACGTCGTTACACACACACACACACACACACACACATATGCACGAAAGAGATGTTAATCCGACTGTACAATTTTCTCATATTTTTGAAAAATGTGTATGAATAAAAAAAATAGAATAATTGTACAAAAATTGTTTAATTGGATCATGATTACTAAAATCTTTTTTTTTCAAATTATACCAGGTGTAGAAGTTTGAAACCGGAATTTTTTTGTAAAAATTACACGTCTGTTGTTTGAAAATGATAAAAAATATTTTATTCAAAATAATGTCCATTGCTATTTATACATTTTTCCCACCTCTCCGGCAGTTTATGAATGCCACGCCAAAAAAACATTTCTTCTTTTGAAGCGAACCAGCTATCGAGCCATTTTCGTACATTTTCATACGAATTGAAGCGTTGTTCAGCGAGAGCCGGTCCCATTGATGCGAATAGATGATAATCGGACGGAGCCAAGTCTCGAGAATAAGCCGCATGCGTTAGTATTTCCCAACTGAACGCCTCGATCGTTTCC